GAACCAATATTGAAGAATTGCAAATTAAATAGTGCTAATATGATAATTTTTCTTTTTTAAAAAATGACAGTTTCGAGATTTTGGTATTATGGTAAACTTTGAGATTTCTTCACTTGAAAACTTCGATTAAAAACTGTTCCGAAGAGTTTAAGTGCATCTTTAGTCATGATTACTGTATTTTAAGTTACTTATTTAACCTTAATTTTTAAGGAAAAATATGCTTCTAAACCATGGCATACAGCTCCCTCACACATTGAGGGGTCCACATGAATAAAATAATTGTGAGGGGACTGTAAAGATGTACCAAGCAAACCTCTATTTTTAACATCTTAGGTCTCTCGTTGACCTTAAAATTTCCATCCACAGAAATAAGGATTAAAAAAAAATTATGAGTGATCATTTCGTAGAATTGAATGGTGTAGATTCTGAATTTTCAATATTGAATTTTACAAGAATAGAAAAAAGGTTAAATTATCATGCTTCATGTTATATAATTGTTCTGTGCTCTTTGAGTTTTTTCGATGAAACTTTCACAGTCATTAAGTCCCATCAAGTACTTCGTGATCAGGCGTGAAAAAAAATAAAAATTAAGAAAATAACTAAAAATGTATATATTTTATGACATTCAACCCAGCTTATGTATTTTTATTTAATATAAAATACTGATAAGATTTAATTTATGAATTATAGGTTTTTTGTTTTCTTTATCGAATGATAATAAATAACTAAAATATGAAGGCTCTAGTATTTATAGTTAGTTAGTTTTTATTTCATTTATTTTTTAAAATTATAGAATTAACATTTTGCCCTTTTTATATTTGGTCAAATTTTATTTTTCTGGTCAATTTTTATTATTTCTTAAACTATTTGATTGGTGGACTTGTTCTTGTTTATTTTCTGTTCGTTTCTCTCAGGTTGTTTGTATTTAATTATCTTTTGGGTTATATTGAAAAGTCCGATTCTCAATTTAATTTAAGTTAGAAAAAGTTGAGTATTAGTTGCCATTTTTCCTTTTCAAAGTGTACAGAAATAGTAGAATGCTTAAGTTTAAAAATAAGTAGATGCTACTTTTATATAACTTTTTTTTTTTGATACCCAGGTGTCCGCCTTACAGAGAATAATCCTGGGGCCTACGATCCAGCCCCTCTTCACGCAGACCATTTAAACAGTGGGTTGTGCCCCGAACTGGCCAGGGTCCAAGAGCCCTCCCAACTGAATTTTCAAAGTGTCGAGCGAGTCAAATCCATGTATGCACCTTGACTTTCAGGAGAACTCCTGCTTTCCAAGAAATATTTTGCCTTCCAGGAGAAAGTCTGCCTTCCAAGAACCCCATGAATCGAACCCGTGACCTCTGAATTGCCCGCCTTGAAGAACTCCGTCTTTTGTATGTTCATTGCATAAAGACAATCATCCAATTATGCATTGCAAATATTTTTTTGCTAACCATGAGTGTCTGGACCAATTTACGCGAACTTCAACTAATCCACAAGATCCTGAAGTTTGCAGTCGGATACTCATCTCAGTGACCCTGAGAGGACTCAAAATGGTGACCATTGGAGAGCAAATCCAAGGTCTGATCACTAAGCTACTCCTCAAGGTTAATTATGCATTGCAAAACTTTCTTCGGCAAGCTGTACTCATATGTGCTCTATGTAGTCCGCAAAAAATTGTATATTCGCAGAATAATTTTACATATAATTCATTTTAAATCTTGAACTTACAATCATGCAGTTCTATCATTCTTTTGTGGTTAAATATACATTTTTCTTAGCAATCTTAATGCTAAGTAACAAAAGATCAAATCACACAATACTATAAAATAAATAACAAATTTTTGTACCAATTTTTAATGAATTCAATTTAGCTGTTTGTACAACTTGGTGTACAATAAAAAAAAATCATGGCCCCATTGTTAGGAGTCTGTACACCACATAGCAACACTCTAACGGACCACTTGACATTATTTACACCTAGGTGTAAATCCTGTTATACATATAGAATAATCCAAATGAATTAATCCTGAGGGGCAATTCAGTAACCAAGCCTTGAATTTGCTCTCTAATGATCACCAATTCGAGTCCACTCAGGATTACTAAGATTTGTACCCGACTATAAACTTCACGACCTGTGAAATTAGTCGAGATACCCGTAAACTGGCTCGGGTACATGATCATCAAACAAAAAAAAGAAAACAAAAAGAAAAAAAAAAAAAGAAAAAAGAAAAATCCAAATGAATTTGGCTTATTCTAAACAAACAAATGATCTCAGTTCTGATAATCAGAAATGCGATGTTAAGAAACAATCTAGCCGTTTGATTGTAAAAATTTGAGAATCAAAGATCATGACAATAGATGCTAGTTCAACAGGTGAAAAATGAGAAGTTTAAGAACTAAGAAAATAGGTACAATCCACCAAAAACATTTCTAATATCGAAAAACCCACCAAAATAAGGCTCCAAAAGAACCAGCATAGCACATCATAAGCATAATTCCCTTTGTTCCTACTTTATTGATCCAAAACCATAATAAACAGAAGTGTCCACTTATGGCTTGAGGGCCAAAGCCAACCCTAATTTGGCGCTCTTATCGATAGACTTTGTATCCACCTCAGTCGAAACAGTGATGAGAGACTTGGGACGCCACTCATGCTGGAGCAGAGCACTTGCCTTCCCGAAGTTGTTGACTCGGGCCTTCACCGTAGTCAATGGATCCAATGAATGCTGGGTGCCAACGGTGATGGTATTCTCATTGGTTGAGAAGCTATGGGTCGCTTCGGCACCTACAGCAGTGTTGGTCAATAGGCTCACCGTATGATAGTATGTCGCACTTAGAGTGTCAAATTTGTCATTCCTGAACCAACGGTGTACATTCAGTAACTTGGTTCAAAAGGTTAGTCAAGCAAACAGGGAAGCAAATCCAGGACGTTGGAAAATGTCCATGATAATGAAAGATGTAACTCACTTGTAAATAGAAATTTTCTGATAAAAATATTTTTATACCAGATGACAATCAAAAGAACCTTCTTTCTAATGTTAATGTGAGGCTGAGCCTAATCATATACTACATCTATCACCTTCGATGCCAGAGCACCAAGACAATAATGGGAATTCATATAACTATCAACTTGAAGATTCAATAGGGGTCCATTTTGTGCGTGAGAAACAGAGACGTGAAATCACCATTGTGATCTTTGTCGTTATTGTTAAAGCTTCAGTATCAAATGAATCTAGCTGTCACTTTGAGGATGGAACCACTGTAGATTTCTTTGCGCTTCACAATTTTTTTAGTTTCTTTTTATGGATTATACTCAACCCATGACCAGTTAAGATGCCCATTTCAAGTGAATGAAAACTTTCATGGTGCTAGGTAGTAGTACCACAAAGTTATCTCCTAGAACAGGGATGACCAGCAGAAACTACCAGAAACATTTAAAATTTCTCCAGCAATATATTAAAACCACTCACAGAGTCAATGAAGCAATAAGATCTGCATTTGTGAAGCTTGCTCCGAAGTTGTATTTAGTAAGAGCTCCTTCCTTGCTGTCAAATGACACATCAGTCCCCACAGCAAGAGTATTATTTCCCAGAACACCCGAAAAGTTTACAATGGGGTTAGCTGTCAACCCAATGCTGGAGCTTATTCCAGCATAGTCATGCAGGTATTGAAGTTCCAACTGCCATGACAAATGTGGAAAAGGAATTACACCACACTTGCACTCCAATCAAAAAATAGCTAAGAAATGCCAAATAACCGAATTCTCAATTTAATAATAATCAATTAAGAAAATACTTGCCTTTCCAGACCTTTGATCGGGAACTCGGAAACTTAAAATTGTCTTCAACCCAGGAGCAGGTTCATCAATTGTGACAGTGGTAAACAGCTGGCATTCGTCTCATAAATCAGTTATACAATTGAATCGGCATACATCCATTCAACATCATCCAATAATTTGTATGTGAGAATTGAGATTAACAGAGCCAAAATGCTTGGTTTCTAAACAGAGAACAGAAAATCACAAATTAAGAGTCAGCGAGAGTCCATACGTTAGAGCTTGTGTCTACTTTAACATCGGTTGTAATATTCTTGTGCTTCAACTGAGTATTTACATCAGCCAAAAACAGTTCACCTTTCTTTGTTCCCGAGGAAGTTATACTCTGAAACCAGAGAAAAAAAAAAAAAAATTGACGTTAAATTTACTCCAGCCGAAAAGTTTGATCAAACACAAAATCCAACCAAAAACTCACTTCAATCTTAACTAATCAGAAGAACAAAAGTAGAAATGTGCAAAAATTAAGGACTAAAGTCAAGAAGGGAAAAACAGAACACAGAACACAAAATTTCTCAAGATTAAGCCAAGAAAAGGACTACGGCACTGTTGACTACAAGCTTCACTAGATTCAAGTTACATCCTCAAAAAATTCTCAAGCAGCACTCAAGCAACAGTGTTTTCAAGAATGCAAGTAAACAGTCTTACAAGACTTTCCAGAGAAAATCTTCTGAACTTCCAGAACAGAGAAAAATTGTGAGACAAAAAATGAGTGAGCGAACTTTTCTGATAGAGTGAAAACTAGTAAATGTAAAACTGAAAATATGCGACTTGCAGTTGCAGGAGAGTTATTTCGCAGCTGCTCTTCCATGTGGATAAGTTTCTAGTTTCAATGTTAGCAAAGTGAAGGGGCAAGTCAGCTTGAAAAATCTCATGTCATGGTCGTTTTCTTTTGGATTATCAGATTTAATAACTAGCTTGAGTTACAACTTATGAAGATGTGGAGAAGTAAAGAAAAGTTCATGCTGACATCATCCATCAAAATCCACAAACAATATTGGCCACAATCTTTAGGAAACACTATACAACCCTACATGGAACTAACAAAAATCTATTCTTGAAAACTATGTTGGGAAATCTATTCTTGGAAACTACATTGGGCTCTAATCACCAAAAAAAAAAAAAAAATAATAATAATAATAATAATAATAATAATAAAATCTAAAAAATTCTATTCTAGAAAAACACATTTGCAATAATCAGATGGGAACTCTATACAAACCTAGATACACTCAATGATATTCTATTCTAGAAAACAGTAGGCAAAAAGGGTTTCACAACTGCAAGATTGGTAATATGTCTTCAAGAGCTCCAAAAAAGAAAATAATAAGAAAAAGATATAAAGAAATATGTTCCATCTCTATGTTAGTTAATAATTATAGATTTCGAACCACTTCATCTAACTAGGAAAGAGATAAATTTATTTAATCAAATTATCTTCAACATGCCTCTCACATATAGGCTAAATTCATTTTCTTAATAAAGGCCCATGCACAATTTTTCAGGAAGGAACTGCTGCTTTGTGTTGAGCTTAAAATGCTAGAGCAAATAGATGGGATATGTTTATTTATTTATTTATTTAAGCTGCCAACAAAATAACAATGTTGCACCAATAGAAGTAGACATTTTATCTGAGTATTCGTTATCCAAAAACAGCCTTTACTCAAAATTTGAATTACTAATACTGAAAATATCAGCGGAACAGAAAAATTATACATATTCCATTTCATGAAAACATGAAAAAGCACTGAATGAACTAGCACAAACAGTAGCTCCCAACCAATTTTCGCTTCCTAGTCAGCTTCTAACTTAACTAGTAATCCACAGATTTATCAACCAACAGCCAATAATTAAAAAAATAAAAAACCAGAAACTCGTAAAAACAAATGCTCGCAACAATATACATTTCTGACAGTATACGTACATCAACAATGCTTCCAGAAACGAACACAGGCACAATATAACAAATTACTAAAATAAATCAAAAAAATTACCACTCCAGTGGGAGAGTAGGTAGTGATGGTGAACTTCTGGTCGCTCTGGCAATCCCTGTATAAAAGATCTATTTACACCAAATAAACACAAATCAAAAATCATTTTACTCGAATCTGCAAAAAAAATAAAAATAATAAAAATAAAATGAAACCTCTAGCTCTCTTGCCAATATCAGAGTAAAGTCCTGGACCCTTGCCCATGATTCTAAAACCTAAAACTATAAAATCAAAGCCTTGAGGGAGAAAGTGTATGTATGTGTTGTTTTGGACTATCGGAGTTGTATAAATGGTGGAAATGCCCTAATTTTCAACCTCAGTTTTTCCAAGGAGATGTTTTTGGAGAAGTATTAGCCGTCGATGGGGATTGCTGGCTGCGGTTGTGTTTGGGCCGTCGATTTTTTTCATGAGAGGGAGATAGATTTAAAGGGTATTTTGGGGATTTAAAGGACAGGGGTCCTGAGAACGTAGTTTTGGCTACTGAATTTAGCGTTCGCTTGCATGATAAAGAATTTCTGAGAATCGTGTTTCTAAAAATGATATCGTGCTTGTTTGGTAGGAATTTTGTTAATTGATTTTTTGACCATTAGAGATAAAGTGGGTTCTATTTGTGAGAAAAGAACTCAAAAATAACAGTTGAAATAGTGAAATAACGATCAAAAAATTAATGTTAATTGGATTAAAATCTAGACCAAACATGCTCATCATTAAGAAAATGTGAAATGATTATTTAAGGTAGCAAGAGAGAGATCGCGTGTACTTTGTTTTTGTGGTCTAATGTTTCGACAATCTAGACGCATACATGGAGACTTTTCCTATTAAAACTTGCCACTGCTCTATACTTTCTTTCAATTCTGGATTGTATCTTTAGTCTGGATCTTGTTTCACATCAAATTTATTAGTTGATGGTATCAAAGAGGATGCTGAAAATATGGGATCAACATCTACAACAATAATCAAAGCCCGATTTTGTGCTTAACTTGATTTCAACAATAGTTTTTATTCTGTTAATATAATTGTAATTAGGCTATAAATCTTCAATTACATTTTTTGTATTCCTTATTTCATGCTCTCGGATTGTATATAATTAAAGTACATATAGAAATGAATATGTGTGGATTTAAATCTTCAAAACCTGAGTAGCGCAAATCCTTTTTATGGTATCAGAATCACAAATCTCTAATGAGTAACATATCCTTCAATTCCTCAAATGGCTGCATCCCTGCAACTAACTATGAGTTTGCTATCATCACCATCAACGTTGCCACCACCATAAATGAAAAAATTACCCCTGCCACCTTTCCTCAATAGAGAGCCCAATTTGAAGCACTACTAATTGGTTATGATCTCATCGATTTCGTCACTGGAATCTCCAATATCCAGCCATTGATGTAGCAAACCCCACCACCTCCAAAGCCGCAAACTACCTGTTGACACATAAAAATTCAACCCAAATTGAACAGCCCAAAGAATGAAGCCCAATTGGAGGATCCCCAAATCAGATAGCCCAAACAACGAAGCACAATCAAACAATTCAAGATGAAGGCCCAAATAGGGAGATTTAAGAACGCGGTAACACCATCGTCCAAGTTTACAAGTCGCCCAGAATCTGAGCGAATGGAGTGCCATGCAGTCGCCCAGAGCTGTTACTCTATTCTCGCCCAAACCTTCGAGTCGCCCAAGGTCTTAGCAAACACAAAGTGTTGTGGTTATCAAGAAGTGCAGTTATCAAAGTAGTTATTAAAGCAGCCCTATCACGTTCCACGGTTCAAGGAACTTAATTGAAGACGGTTGAACGACAAAGAGTAATGACAGTAGTTAGAAAAGGTAGTTCCATGACAAGTTGGCCATTACGAGGAAAGTGGGCAGTTATAGAACGATCCAACAGTTTTTAGACGGTTGATCACAAAGAGATCATCCAGGGAGTATAAAAGGAAGGAAAGACATAGAGCAAAAGGACCGAATCAAAAACTCTCGAATAGAGAACATGTAATTTTAAATTTCTTAGCTTAGATTTAAACACTTTTTTCAGTAACTCGTGTGTTTGCGCCCCTTGGAGGCATTCTGTTTTTAATTTCCGATTGTAAAGTCCTTTTAATTGTTAGCGACTAACCCGCGCGAAACAATTTGGCACGTTGGGTGGGACAGTGGTGTTTGTTGTTGAAAATACAAAAGGTGAAACAATATGCCTCAGAGATCCGATAAGGAAGCAGCAAGTCAGGGAGGAATCCAGTCTGTAATCAAGCGATATGAGGAGCAACATGCCTCTCCACGAACAGATGCACAGAATCAGAGCAGTAATAGTCGTTACGAACCAATGACAGAGTTGAGTCCTCGAACCATGTGTGCACTACTTGGAGAACTCACACAAGATGTCGTTGAATAGGTAAATCTTCGAAGTATTTATAATATAGAAAGATTTACCCAAAATGAGAATACACATTATGACAACATGGCCAAACAACTAAACACTTTAAATGAACAATGAATAAGTTAGTAGGCCAAATATGTCAACCGGTTATGCCTCTTGCAAACCACTTTCAAACTAGGACAATTGTGAGACATAATCCCTCAGTCCTAAATCCGAATCAAAGGGTAGAACCACTTTCTGGTCCCTCTACCTCAAACCAAGGGGTGGTGCAGGGCCAAATCAAAACAATGGTAGTGGTACGCCTAATTTGGGAGGTAATCCAAATGTAAGAGATAATGTCCTAAACAATGGATAGAATACCCCACGTGTTAATGAGGGAGTAGATGTTCAGGCTAATGGTAATGGCCCTAATCATAGTAACTTCGTTGCCAATCAAGGACCAAATATCAGGCCTCATGCAAATCAACCGGTTAACCAACCTTTAGGAATTCCATATGACCCCAACGTCATGTTGAGGAATCAGATTATGGAAATCGTACAGGATCAGATGGCTTTTGGG